TCTCCAGACCTTTATTGCCCTTTTCTGGAGACTCTCCAGACCCTCAATGTCCTCTGTCTAGTGAGGGGCCCAGAACTGGACACAGCACTTGAGATGTGGCCTCACCAGTGCCCAGTACTGGGGCAGTTTCTGCTCTGGTCCTGCTGTCCCTATGTTGGTGATACATGCCAGGATGTCATTGGCCTTCTTGGCCACCTGGCACACTGGCTCATGTTCAGCTCCTGTCAGCCAGCACCCACAGGTCTTTTTCCAAGAAGCAGCTTTCCAGACACCTTGCCCCCAGCCTGTCAGGCTGTATGGGATTGTTGTGGCACAAGTGCAGGACTCACATTTCACCTTATTGAACCTCATAGACTTGGCCCATTGATCCTGCGTGTCCATATTCACCTTTTGACTAATTGTCATGGCGTTTACTTTCTGGTATCTAAGATTAAGAAAATACTATGGTAGTTTTTAAGTCATAGAAGTAGTAACATTTTGTACATTAACTTATGGCATATATAAGTCCACTGAAGCTTCCAGCTCCAGTAAGCTGTAATTTACCTGGAGCAACCGTGCTAGGAGCCTTTGTTATTTTTGTGTTGCTTATTCATCCTTAGCCCTCCAAAGAAAAAGTAATTTTGAGTAATATCACTATTCACAGATGAAAATTATATCTTCCCAATACAAATTTGAATGTTATGGAGAACAAGAATAAAATACTTATAACCCTGCATTTTTTTTAACTGAAGCTCTAAGTAATAAAATGACAAAGAAAGAAATTGCTTCAGACAGAAATTTCAGAATGCTGCTCATAGGTTTCCTTTTATAGTTGTTATGATTTAGTTCAAACAGGCCATATTGAATCCATTGGGTTTTTTGTAATAGATTTCAAAATACATAATAAATGTAAGTAATATGATGACTAATGGGTCAAGTGAAGTTGGAACTTTTAAAATGAGAAAATAGCTGGAAACGGTTTTCAGGAAACTATTCCAGTTGATTTTTGGTCCCCCACAAGGTGTACATTAACATAAAACTCCGTAGAATCGCCTCTGGGACCTGAATTCCCTCTCTGATTTCATTATTCCAAAGTGTTTCTTTTTCCTCCACTGTTAAGTCATCTCCTGGTGTGGTGGGAGCATATAATAAGTGTAATTTATTTATATTTATCTAATCTCCTTTTAACTCACCAGTTATTTCATCATTCTGTTTCCTAGCTGCTGTTCAGAAAGTTGTGAAGGCTAATTAGAAACTAATAATTGAAATACATGGATTTACTGGGTAATCTAAAGAGAAGTAGTGAAGAAATTGTGGAAGAGAAAGAACAATTCAAATTCTAACTCAAATGCTATACTGTAATCAAAAATTGCTTTGATACCAAGTAGTTCCATTTGCTTTAAGAATAACAGAAGTACCTCTCTTGAATGCACTTGATTTGCAAGCACAGTAAATTTTTTCACTTTGTTTTGCTGGAAATAAATAACACCTGGCAAAATAAGTTATTGCTAATACACCTTAAATCTAAAGAATGCATTGGGTTATAATTTTGGTAGCCAGTCACTAATAGGCAAAGGAGAAGCTGATGTAATGGAGGCGTTAAAGATGACTTTGAACTACCTTTTAGTCTCTGTTGATCCTGATGTAATTCTGGGGAATTGAAAGAGTCAGTGGAGTTACAGGAAGCTTGTGTTTTCCTATGGGTATAGAATCTGCATAGTATTATGTGCTGTTCTTCCCAAGGTGTTTAAAATAATCTAAAAAACTGTTACACTTGGATTTTGCACCCCAAAAATTTTATTCCAGTTGAATCTGTGTGACCCATAGATTTTAAAGCTCTTTTGAGTACATTTTGACTGTCTGGTGAGGCGGCTGAATATCTATCTTAATCAACTCCTATAAATAGCTCTTCATGTTTCATCAGTTTTCATTGTTCTGTCCATCACTTAAATATATTTTCCTTAGGAGGAATGTTAAAGTTTCTTTTACATTGCTAAGGATAATGTATAAAAGAGGTCAAAGACTAAAGATTGCTCAATTGTGTTTTTTCTTTTCTTTTTGAATGTTTTACTTAAAATACCAAAGAATCTCTTTACATAATCTTTAACCAGTTGTAAAAATAACCTATATCATTATGAGATAGTTAAAATATTTCCAATGAACGTTCCAAAGTCACATTTTCTGCAATTATGCTTCTGGCTGCCACCACATTCTGTCAGGGCTGATTTACTGGTTAATAATAATTTCATACAAAACTTTGTCAAGTTACCAGTCATGACAGCATTTTTCTGTGTGACATGCACAGTTTCCAAACAGAAAAGAGGGAAGTCATTTGCATTTCTCTGGTGTCCTGGTGGCCATTTTTTTATTGCCTTCTTGGACGAGTAGCCAAGAGCAGTGATAAAAGCACCGGCCCAAGTGTCAAGTATGTTCCACCACTGAGCTGCACCAGCGCCCTGTGTCTTCTCTGCCCTGGCTAAAGGAAGTCCCAAAAGCAGCTTCTCCCTTTGTGTTCATCTCCTTTTCCATCCTTCACACTCAGTTTTTGCATGTGTTAAGCTTTGGGTTAAGCCCTTGACATCTGTTGAGTCAACTTAGGTCTAAGAAGTTTTTGGGTGTCAGGAAGGTTTCTTGGGTCTTTTCCCCCTTCTGGGCTGTATTACTTTAGGAAAGTGCTGGCAATCAGATGTGTATAAGATAAAGCAATTAGATTTAAAAGTTGCCATACCAAGGAATAAGGGTCCTCCTTTACTACCTTAGAAACTTAATCTATTTAGCAAAAGCAATACGTAACATCTGTTTATTTTACTCCTTTATTAAATACAGTACTAAGGGAAAAATTTAAATTTATAAGGCAGTTGTTTGGTTGGGTTTTTTAACATTTTATTTTAAAAACTCTCCATTTGACTATTGTAAATAAATTAATGTCATAATGTCACATGGGTCTCTACTTTATTCCTAACTCCTTTCTCAAAGGAAGGAGAGGTCCATTATGTCTGCATAGAAGGCAGACAAATCTTGGGGTATTCCAAGTGCCAAGAGGGTAGGGAGTTTATCCAAAGTATTATGACATTTTTCTTCCCATGATTTCAATTAAAATGTCAATATATAAGGATTTTGGAAAGTCTTCCAAGTTGATCTTGTGTGGTTTTGAATGCATGAAAATCCTCACAGAATCGCTGAGGTTGAAATAAGACCTCTGAGATCATTGAGTCCAACCTTTGATCAACCGTGTCAACCAGACCCTGACTAAGTGCCATGTCCAGTTGCTTCTTGAACACTTCCAGGGATCCTGACTCAATCACCTTCCTGGGCAGCCAATTTCAGTGTTTACAACCCTCTCCAATCCTGTTTTCTTCTAATGCCCAACTTTCTAGCTTTGGTACTTGCCTTCCTGCTAGACCCACATATTACCTAGTGTTTTGCCAGTTCCTAGTTTCAGTGCAAGTGAAAGCATTTTCAGAAAATCAATAATTAAAGTTCTAAGTTAAAAATAACTTTTCAGTCTTAAATTTCAGTTATCTGTAACTTGTGGAGTAGTGCAGACATTTTTCTAAGATTGTTTTGGTTTTTTTAAGTTCAGCTATGACAGATCTTACGTAGCCATTAATAAATTTATCTTATCTTTGTAGAAAATGTGCCAGATATTTTTGGGGGGAGTGGATCAGAAAAGTACTTTGCTGCATGCCTGTGAGTCTCTGAAGTCAATATAAGACTGTTCTTAAAAGACGCTCTGAAACTCTGTCCCTACAGCTCTTTACTGTTGGTGTAAAAATTTATCTAAAGAATGGAAGAATCAAGCTCATTAGTTTGCATCAATGTTAAGAGTAAGATGTGATCCTGGACAACTTGAAACTGGTTTCTATGAAATATTCATTAATCTATGTAAAACCTTGAACAGACAGTGTTTCCTGTATATATTTATAATGAAACTCGAAACTAAGTAGTGCTGTTTGAACATTTCATCTATTTTAGATATATGCACAGAATTTTAATCACTTTTGGTTCATGGGGTTGGGGCAGTGGCAATCAAACAGCAAAGGGAAAAGCCCTTTTCCCCATAACCAGAATAGCTGTCTCATTACTGGTCAAAAACTGAATTTGAAATGAAAAATCTTAAAAACTAAGTTAAAAGCTAGATTCTGTAAGGAATTGTTACATACTGATGCTGCAGCACAGAAATAAGTTTCAGCCTTCATAAGATCCTGCTTCCTATCTGTGAAATAATTTTGGCAATTGCTGCATCTCAGCTATCAGGATATCACTATTAATAATGTTGTTCATATTCATTGTGGTTCCTAAAAATTCTGTGAGTCTTTTAGTAGTCTGAGAAACACCAGAATCCTTTTTGGTGAGGAGATGAAAAGCATTTCAAGAATAAAAATGGCTTTTTAAAAATTTTTAAAGCAATACATTATTCCAATCTCCCTGGAAAATGAAGAAATCTAAACATAACTCAGTTTTTGTATTTGTTTTTTATTTCACATTTCATCTTGAAAACGCATTGAAGACTGCTGCATATGAACTGTGTAGGAAACAACACAATACACATGTTATTCACTCATTTAAATGTGTTGAAAATGTTCGCTGTTGGCTTTGGAGTTTAGTCAAATAGTTCTTCTGGATATAAAACTCAAGAGAATGTGAAGTATATTTTTATTCTGACACAAAAGAACTAATGTATCTCCCCTCCTACGCACTCAAATAAAGAGTGTGTCTTTCAGATAGCTGTGGTGATCCCTGGGAAGAGATGAGATGAGATAAAATCCATTTTGTGTTAAGTTTCTTCCTTTAAAATTGTACATAGTGATGGTTGCTTTTAGTATTTTTGATTATATTTTAATTCAGATTTATTGCTAAAAATACTGTTTTGTTATGTTTTAACATTGATTCAGTCCTTGTAATGAAATATGGTGGAAATATGGTGGAAAAGCTATTTCTACTCAATGCTTATATTTGCACACAGCTTGAATAATTGCACTATAGCTTGTCACATTTCTTTCTCCAATTCTCCCCTACAGCTGACATAAATGTGGACATATCAAAACCTTTGAAAGCAAATCTCAGTTTTGCCAGACTTGACCAAATAAACCAGTTCTTGAAGAAAATCATAACCACGAATGAAGATGTGCCCAGGAAGGAGGCTGCTTCATCAGCTGGCATTATTCCAGATGAGGACATCACTTTGATATCCAGACACCCCAGTACAAAGGACTTTCTACCTGCAGCCCACACCAGCACTGTGCAAAAGGCTTCAATGCAGGAAAACTTGTGGCAAGCCCTTTCCTGCTTCCAGAAAATTTCCATTCACACTGTTCAAATGGTTGTTTTGATGGAAACCATCCCACACCCCAGTAAACCTTGTTTGTTAGTCTCTTTCTCAAACCTCAGTGGAAGCCTGAATATTAAAAGTGGACATAAAACTGCAGGTAAGACTTTTTTTTAAAGCTGGAAGAGCTACTGGTTTGTGTGAGTGGTGGTCTAGTGACCATTTCAAAGTGTGGGGCATTGCAGGGAACTGCTCCAGCCAACATCATAAAACCACAACAGAAAACAGCAAATCCCTGATAGACTCTATTACCCAAGTTTTCCTTTCTGTGAGGGAGCACCCAAGAATGATTAATTCTGTAGTTAATATCCCCTAGGTTGTAATTACTAATTTATTGATGGAATTCTGGCTCAAATAGTGGTTATGAGAATCACTCCTCTGGTATTCCAATAATTTAGCACATAATTCAAAGGGCAAAATTTTGACAGTTTTCACTCTGTAACTAGATTTTCTTGTTAGGACCTTTGTTTTTGTCTTTAAAAAATGTAAAAATAATTGTTCAGAGCCCTGACAGGTGCTACTATATAAATATTGGGTCATGCTGTTACTCTGCTCCAGATTTATGAAGTTTTCAATTTTTACATGTTTCCTCTGCACACCTGAGAGTCACACAGGGAAAACAGACACTCTGGCCTCATTACTGAAGCACTGCAAGGAAACTTAAAGCCTCGGGTACAATTAACCAGATACCAGAGACTCATTTAAAATGGAGATATTTTGAGTGTCACTGTAAATTGTTTTATTAGTATTTCAGTAAAATTAATAAGATGGTGTATTTCCATGGTGTGGAGATGAGCCAGATGTAGGTAGTTGGAAGAGTAGCTTGAGAGGTAGAACGGTCTCTAGCTGAGAAGAACAAGTTGTTGGCCAGCTGAGGTGGTGATTTATTTCTTTTTCATCAGAAATATTTCTCCTCAGGCCAGCAAGTTCCAGTTCTTCTTTATTGTTTTAAAAATGAAAAGTTTAAGGTTCATAGGACATGAAAACCCATGAAAGTGCCGGGGCCAGAAACTTTTGATTTATCGATTAATAAACAGCAGTGCAGGCAGGAGCAGTGCCTGTGTTCCCACGCTTTTCCACTCGGATCACAACTCTTGCATAGAAGGCACTGCAGCTGAGTAAAAGCCTTTATAATGTGCTTTAAATAGTTTTAGTTTTGTTTCTGTGTCATAATCCTCTTCCCTTCCTTGGGCTCCCCTCTATCATTTGTGCATTATCTGTCCCATGGTACATTATGGTGTCCACATCATGCTTCGATACATCAAAGCTGGGCTGCTCCCTCACTGTTCTATAAAGCAATTTGGCAAACTCACACTGTATTTCACTTACCCTGGAGGTTTTCATCCTCCCAGAAGGAGGACGTACCTTGCCTTGCATGTTAAGCTTCAGAAACATTTTCAGCTATGAAGTTCTGTTTCTTAATTCTTCTGGCAGTCTGAGAAAATCAATCTTTATTTTACACGTTATAAGCCATACATGAATCTTCAGTACAGTCATAATCTGGCAGGCATTGTGAAGTGGAGCAATACTGATGTCAAATCTAATGAAAATGGACATTAGTTACTCTATATAAAGAACTTCCATAACCAGAAAATTAGTAGGCATCAACAGATACTTTTCACTTTTTTTTTCCAGTTAAAAATGCTTTATCTTTACTTTATAAAAAGAAAAATACATGTGCATGAGGTTTTACATACTGTTATGGTGTAATAAATTAAGTTCTAATTAGAGCAAAAGACACACCTCCGCAAAACTGATTGAAATTGTCAAAAAATCTTTTAAGAAATTACTTGGATTTTTTTTTTTTTTTAACAGTTGTTGATCTGAATTTAAAGTGCTGATAGAAACCAAGGTGGAAATTACAATTTCAGTAGAGAAAATAGAATACTCAGTGTGGGGAAATGATACTATAATCTTATGTTAAAAATCTTTTAGAAGGATACCACAGTTGCTAACTAGATTTGTTTTATTATTGCAAAGAAATTATGCAAGCTAACCCAATTTTTAAAATATTTTAGCTGTGTCTTGAGAGGAAGGAGCATTTAAATAACTCAGTTCTTCACTACTGTTCTTTTTATAAAAGGTTTTATAGATACACTTTCTGAGCTGAACAGAGTTAATGTCAGGTTTTTTTAATAGAATGAAACTAATACGTGAATACTTCCCTGTGTCTTTGATTTTACAGTCGAATAACTATTGTGACCATCTGCAGCAGCTGCATTTTACGAATTATTTGCTGAACCAAGCTAAGCGCAATGACAAAAGTAGTCATCTCAGATGTACTGTTAAAACAGAGGAGGAAAAAGGAGCATTGCTTGCCTTTTGTACAGTATGGCCATCTGCTGTACAGATGTTATTATATAGAATGACTTCAGATACAATAATTGTAGAAAATTTTCATTAAAACCTCAACAATTTGCACTTGTTTACTTGAATCTGCATAACTCCCCAGTGAGACAACACAATACGCTTGGGGTTTCTTTGGTTCTCACTAGCTTACTCTTTGATCCTTTTTGATGTGCTGACTTTAATAAACATAGTTAAAAACACTATTCAAAAACATCATGGAAAAAACTACAAAGGAACAATTATAGCAGTAGAAACTACTCTAATCCCTTACTTACGCAAGCTATTTTTAGTGAAATATGGTTTTTTACACGTTTTATGTGGCAGTGTTTTATAAACAGTGTAAACGACCCCTTTTCCAGATGAGTTTTAATGCAGGAGATGAAGTTGTTTTGTAAGGAATCCTATTTGCTAGGAATTACTGAGCAAAAAAAGCCTCACAAGAATATATATTGTCGTCATTTTCCCTCCCTTATGGGGGGGAAATAAAAGTGCATGACCTTGTGTATTGCTTTCATTTCTTTTCAGCTGAAATTAAGAAGAAAGCTTGCTATCCAACTTATTTTTTTTAATTATCAATTTTCCCTCTAGACTTTACTGGTTTAATCATGAAAACTAAAGGCATTCTAGTTTCATTTTTCTTCTTAAATTCTTACGAAACTAAAAATTTTTAGCTTCTGAAAAATAGCGGGGCTAATTAGTTGAATGATTTCACTTCTAACAAAGTTAATTATAAGTGTTGAACAGTCACATTGCAATTGGATCAAACTAAAACACTTCTATTTCTGTATGTACTGCTGTGCTGTTGTACAACCCCAAACTTTTAGTGTGTCAAGGGACTTAATCTTTTGGACATTTTTCAGGTTTTAGTACAACAGTTACTTATAACAACATGGTTACTATTTCTGTTAGAATACTTATGTTCCCCTCTGTACTCATGTTTAAATACTCACTATTTTGGTTTTAGTAAAATAATACTGTTGTAGACTGTATTGCAGTGTACTGGCACAAAAAGAAAAAATAATAAAACAAAACAAAGTCCCTTTAAAAGAAAAAAGACTTTAAAAGAGGCTACCATTATAATTTTCCTGATGCCCTTAAGGGTAGGAATTCATCGTACTGATATTCAATAAAACAATTATCTCTAGTAATTTTATATTTTGAGGCTTGGAGTTACAAGTTAAAACTTGTACCCATTTTTTTGAAAATCAAACACTTAGCTTGTTTGTGCTGTTGATGAAAACCCCAACTCCAAGAACTGCTGTTAGACCTGGTTCAGTGATTTTTGTCCTCTGATGTACGTGACATCTTCCCTAAATGCTAAGAGCTCGAGTCCCATGTACCCAGTCAGATCTGAGATGGCTTGGTATCATGTTTGAGGTATGTGACTCACTGCTTAACTGTCACAGGGCATTAGAACTGAAGTAAGTTTTAGCAAGAAATACTAGAAAATAGAATGGAATTCTAAACATATGGCTTGCAGTTAGTTTAGGTTTGTAGTTGAAATTAGCACTACCTACCTGCCAAAAGAGCAGATAAATTAAGAGAAGTTGAGGACCATTCTTTCCCCAAAGTGAAAGACAGCAAGAAGCCTGTAGCCTCTCAGTGGAGCCTTATTTTACTCTGGCTGGACACGGGAGGGAAGTCGTGCTGCTCAGTGTCTGAACTGAGAGAGTTACAGACATAAAATATTCCAAAGATCATACACAGAATTCCCCAGCCCTTTGTCCCATATGTAGAGATGATTACTTTAGCATATAAATAAGGGGGAAAAAATAAACACTGGTTGAGCCTATGATAATTGCGAGTATTTTTACTAAACCTGAAAATAATTACATACTTGAGATACTTTACAGAACTTTTAGAAATTAAATGCAGATATGAATTGGTATAGCACAAAGACCAAACTTCAATTTGGAGTTAACTCACTCCCTCGAGAAAACTCTGCTAAGGCGTTGTCATAGCCTTTGGATGCTGCAGATATGCAAGTTAGCCCATGGGGAAATAAAACTTTAAATTAGATATGACTACCTAAAATAATATGCAGCAGTAACAAGCCATTTACAGCACCCAGAAGGCGTTTGTTACTTTTAGAAAGAAATATAAACTCTTTCCAACACTTGAACAATAGGAAATTAATTCTCTGTCAGTAAAAGCCAGAGGACAAACTAAATATTTAAATGGTCACTGAGGACTGAGGTGGAAGTGCAGCTTGTAGACAGCTATACAAATCACTAACAAATCTTAATGAATATTGGGTGTGGGCATCAGGGTCCTGTCAGATTTGACACCGTGTCCCAAGTAGCTTAAACCCAACACTCAAGGAAAGGTGGAGACCTCATCAGGTCTCTAACATCTGGGATTTTATTTGTCATTTTGGCATATCCTGCAAGCGCAAAAGAAAGAGTAAAAGGGGATTATCCTGACAATGAAATGAGTTACTGAATCTTGTGATAATGAAAAGCAGAAGAATTCTAATTCCTTTCTATAGTCCCTGAGGTGGAGGTGCGTTTATAGTTCTGCAGGAGTATAATGTAGGAGGGAAGAACAGATGGCCTAAAATCCATGAAACAAGACACCATCTAATCCCAGGACTGAGTACCACTATTAATCCTGGTCAGATCCCCTACTGATACTTTGTAATAGGGTTCAGAATTGCTACTGATGAACTAGCACGTTAACTTCAGAGAGTAAAAAAAAGAATTAAAAGTTCCTTGAAGGTTGTTTGTTCAAGACAGTGTGCACTAATTTTGT